ATCTGGTATTTTCCATTTTACAAATTTTATTTTCTAATAATTAATAATTTTTTATTTATTTAACAAAACAATAGTCCACATAGAGAAGCGCTGACCAAATATGCTCATTGTGTCTCTAAAGATGTCTTTGGATTTCTTACCTTCATGCCTTTGCCTGGTTTTTAGCTAACACTGCCTGGCTCTTAAAATTTAACTATAATGCCCTCTCCTTCATGAGCTTTTCTCTGAAGTCCTACTGAAGATCTTTGTATTTCTGATGAAACCCTTATAACCAATAATTTAAATTCAGTATCATTTAACATTCTATGCAAATGCACTTCCTTTTTTGCAGTATCACTTTGGAGACTATACCTGAGAGATACAATCAGGGTGGTTAAAAACATGGACTTTAAAACCTTAGATATCTGGGCTGGAATCCTGAGTTCTGTTCATTTAAGAGTTGAGCGGCCTTGAGAAAGTCAGCTAGCCCTTTTGTGCCTCAGTTTCCTCATTTATCAAATGAGACTTTTGGCATCACCTATATCTTAAAGTTACTATGAGGATTAAATGAAATAATACATGTGAAGCATTAAGTATACAGTTCCTGGCACATACTAAACACTCAATATATGACTGCACTTAATATTTTTCATTGTTAATATTGGCAGCATTACATATATAAATAAAATAAAAATATAGTACTTTTTATTGCCTTCATTCAAACATTGCCAGAAATTAGTTATTTAATCATATTGTTTTGAGGAAAAAGAAGATTCGAAGAGATTGACACAATTTTTTTGATAGACCAGTTTTTGAAGACATAGCTGGCATGGGTAGTGTGAATAGGGATGGAACATCTTTGGGTTTCCACAGATTTCTAATGGGTTTGGGGAACCAGGACAGTGTGGCAGAGGCACCCTTGTTTAGATACTGTAAGCATAATCTGAATCACTCATAGATACTTTTTTTTTTTTCCTGCAGGCAAAACTAACACTACCAAAGGAAAATGGGATTAAAAAAATTTAGAAGAAGGAAATATATCTAAAAATATCCCACCACCACCAACATAAAATTTGGCTGGAACACCTGGGTTTTTCTGAGTATAATTTTAGTTAGGTAAACACTGAAAAGATGTATTTTCCTAAGAAAGGAAAGAGTCATTTTATGGAAAATGGTGGTTGGCAGTAATTTTAAGATGCAGAAGATCAGTTTTGCAAAAGATATTCCTATTTTAAAGAATGAGAAGATGTGAATTTGAACAAGCAGCAGTAATGAGGACTAACACTCACCATTGCTTAGCTGACAAAAATTTATCCCCAAATAGCCTTCTTTGTAGGATAATTACCTACACAAACATGAAGATGTGCACTACAGTGCTTAATCATGCAGTAGTTAAGTGATTGTTTTAATGTGTGCTCTAAACAAGTATATTAAAACCATATTATGGATTCATAGCTATGCAGGATATGCTTTATTAGGCTTTAAAAATAGATAAGCTATCCTAAAAGTAAGCAGAAATATGCTCAATATATAACTAAATTAACTGCCCAACAAAATGGCACTGAATTTAAGGGAGTAGATTATGTTTTTGTGGTCAAGTTATTTTTGGTATATTGAATGAGAATTCAAAAGGAAGGCTATAAACAAAATTCCGAGAAGAGCTAGAGAACATGAATTAAGAGGTACATAAGCCCTTGCTGGACAAGGGCTATAATACAAAGACTTAAATTACTACAGTTGGAGGATAAGGAAAACAAAGTAAAATCTAAATTATTTGAGATATTACAAGGTGATTTTCCATCTAAGGTGTACACACAGTGTGCACATGCGCACACACACACACTATATATATATATATTTACACACACACACATATATACACACACACATATATATATATATATGCACACACACACAGATGTATGTTCACCAAGCATACATACACACACACACACACACACACACACACACACACACGCATATGTGTGTGGGTATATGCATATATATACTTGGTTGGCATATATATGTGTGTATATATGTGTGTGTGTATGTGTGTATATTTGTGTGTGTGTGTGTGTGTGTGTATGTGCCCATCAAGTACATATATAGATCTGAAAAAAATGAGTGGCAGCATTTTCTAGAAAACAAGTTGGGCTGAACGCACACACCTGTTTTCAATAATAATGTCTGTTAGATCTGAATGGCACAACAGTCTGTCAGGGAAGTGATGAAGTCATCACAGACTGTTGAGTGATTCAAAATTAGATCAGATGAAGCACTTCAAAAGTACACTGTAGCAAACAGTCTAAAGTTGGTGAAGGCAATAAAAAGATGACCTAAATTGATCTTTTCCACCTTTAACTTTTAATGCTTTCATGTAGTTTAAAAATAGAAAATATATAATGTTTATAGAAGTACTGAAAGGGCCTTATCTCTAAAGAGCTTATTATTTAACATAAATATATGCTACTCATGGCTTTGTTATAGAAACACTTACAAATGTAGTTATGTATCTTAGTCCTTTCCCCACTACTATGAAATCCACAATGATGGAGGAACTTAGGGTTTGAAGAAGTATTTAAGAAATGTTTGGTAGAGTTTTCTTTAAGAGTTAAATTCAAAATACATGTGTCCGATATAATAGACTTTGATATTGTAGTCAAATTTAATAGTTAAATTTAAATAAGATATAGGGTTTTTTCATTTTTAATGTCAATATAACTAGATGAAACAATGATGATAATAAAAATGGTATACCGATTATTCGAGAATCATTAGCTAATCCGTATTTTAAAAAAGAGGTGATTGGATGGGAAGCAGCTTTTAGAAAAGTTATTTTTCATGTTCTATCTCACCTTAAATAATTGGCAATCAGGTGCATTCTCTTTTATATCATTTGATTTCTTTTATATTCAAGTCAGTGAAGGTACTGCATAAAATGACTGAAATTGAGAAGAAAGGGCTCAATACATTTTTATAAAGTTTCTAATTTGTGCTTTTTTCATTTCACGTGCTATTCTAACGTACAGTGATTTGCTTGGGGCGCTCTAGCTCACTTTGGGAAACCTTCTTATGCTCATGTTGAACAAACACACATTAACAAGCAGTGGTTCAGAATTAGATCAGGTAACTTACTGTTCCCTGGAGTCAGCCTCTGTGACTTTCTGGATAAACTACAGATTAGACTTTGGGTCCCATGGATCAGCAGGTTGGAACCAATCTTGACAGAACCCTCCTTTTCTGTGACTGTTTCTAGGCTAGCAGTGTACCCTTTGACTGGTGCTAATGCTTGGTCGCTCACTTGCCGCCCATGTGGCCAGATTTACATAAACTTTATAGAAAATTGGCTTATGCTAACTTCTCTTACAGTCCTTGATCTCAAGCATGCTATTTGATACAAAGTCCGTTTACATACAGAAAGCAAAGAATAAAGCCTTTTGTCCAGTTCTTGAAGCCTGCTGTGGTAGCTAAAAAAAACTTAATGACCATTTCAGTTTCCACTGGAAGTGGTAATGGTGGAGAGGTGCTGACCATGGACAACATTTACCTTGGTGCCTAGCTCACTGATAGGATACAGAAGATGTTCAATAAGTGTTTGTTGGATGAATGAATAAATGATGATTCCAAAGTAGACTCAATTTTGGCACTGCTTTTTTGCATCCCTTTCTAAGCAGCTGGTCTCCTAGACAGCTCCATGGGAGCTGCAGAAACACAACAGGAGAGAACAAGATGGGAGTTTAATGCCAAAAGAATTAAAGTGGCAGTGTCTGTGTAGCCATCTTTTGATTCATGAGCACACAAACAAACTTTGACTAGTTAGCCTTAAACCATTCAATACAATGTACTGGGGGGAATATCATGGAGTTTTGGAGACAAACAAATCTATGTCATTGCTACTTATTTACTAATATTCTACCCAGAGCAGGTTACTTAATGCCTCAGAGGCTGAGTTTTTCTTTATTTAAAATAGACAAATTACTCTTTGTCTTAGAAGCTTGTTTTGAGGTAAATAACTTCGGATAGGATGTAGGTGTGTCTCAATAAGAGTCATGGTGATTTTCATTTTTTGGTGTCTTAGATGGTCGTGTCAGGGCTGCAGGGTGTACACATATTTTCATAAATCTTTCTATCAGCTTTGTGAGGTAAAGAGTATCATTCCTGTTACTCGAGCATTTAAATTGAGAGTCAGTGGTGAAAAGGAATCTACACAAGGTTGCAGAGCTAAGAAGTGTGAAAGCACAGATTTGACTTAAATTTACCTAATTTCTTTGCCCAGGCTGTATTTTACCTGATTCATAAATATTACTTTTTTCCTTGCCCAAAAGAAATGGCATTAAACAATTCTTCTTTTTCTAAATAATCTGGTTACCCTCTTCTGTAGGGTGGTATCCCTAACTCCCATAATAAACCTCAGTAGGCCCATTTCCTTCATTCTGCTCACTTACTTAGAATCTAGCTGTGGCCTCCATTTACATAGCGCTTTTAGTTTTCATGATTGGATTGCGCATATGTTCAATAAATTTCTTCTATGTAATTTCAAGTTAGATTACTGTAATACTGAAGTGCAGATAGGCTAGGGGAAGCAATAAACTTTTTTGTGGCAATGAAATAACTCCAATTTTCCATAAACCACATGAGGGAGAAAACAAGACAGAACCTTCTAGATACATAGAAATGCAACAGTGTTTCTTGTCTTCCGTGTGGAGTCAGAGATTCTGCTGGCCATGTGTCTGTATGTGATGTCAGTGGGAACTTTGAATATTTAGGGTGGAGATGCCTAACTTGGATCATCTGACTTTGGATCTATTAGCAGAAGCTGGAAATGCTTATAACCATGACTGAGTCAGAAGGATATGAACCTCGGACTTATTCTGACAGTTGTCTTTAATTAAAGGAGCCTGGCCCTCTTAGATTCTGGCAAGTCAGCTATTCAGAAAGCACTAGTCGTTGAAAATCTTGTTACTTTCCCAAGTTTTGTTTTCACTCAGCATCTTGGTTTTGTTTGTGTTTTTCATTTACAGATTTATAATCGCTTAGATACAAATTGCTGTGGCTTCAGACCTCGCAAGGAAGATGCCTGTGTACAGGATGGATTGAGGCCACAATGTGACGACCAAGGTTCTGTGGCTCTAGCACACATTATCCAGCGAAAGCATGACCCAAGGCATTTGGTTTTTATAGACAACAAGGGCTTCTTTGACAGGAGTGAAGATAACTTAAACTTCAAATTGTTAGAAGGCATCAAAGAGTAAGTTTTATAGCCACATCTGCAGAACATCACTTGTATATTAGAAAAGTAGCAAGGTTCTGAGAAAACTCACATCTTAACATCTGATCGTTTTAACCCTTGAAAGTAATTGTGAATGTGGAATCTGGAAATGGAGACCCAGGAAGGGAAACAAACTCAAGAAGAACAGAACCAGAGTGCATCCCTGACATCTCTATCTCCAACCCATACCACCTACAAAGCTCATGCTACATTTCACATTCGTTGTGAAAATCCATGTGGGTTATATTGGAAGAATGCAGGGACCTCTGGCGTAGGATTTGGCAGAGCAGGGTTAAGCAGTTGGCAGAGGCTCCATTATTAGGCATAAGATAGGACATGGGAAGAACTAATAGACACGCAAATATTGACAAGGCAGAATGTCCACATTCATAATAAACTCAAGTGACTTTTATGGATGCAGTGGAAAATGACAGCCAATCTGGTAAGTAAGGCATGGTCTCAAAGGACAGCTGGCTGTTTGATTCAGCAGGAGGATTTTTCAGCATTTTGAAATCCTTCTAGCAGATACAGATTAAGGGGAAAAGTATCTAACACCTGAGAGGGAGGGCTTCTGGAGGCTAGTTAGGGTTGACCAAGAATTCAGGGAAGATCTCAAAGATCTGGGGCCATCTGGCAAGCCTCAGAAAGAATGCAGAGTGAACAGAGAACCAAAGGAGTTGTGCAATGCAGAAGTTAAAATACAGTGACTGCTCATGGCGCACTTGATCTGACATCTACTTGGAAATAAAGGAAATTAAAACACTTAGTAATGGCAGGAACCCAACTATAAAGCATGAGCTGTTCAACCCCAGCAATGGAAATTGTGGCTGGATTTCAAGCTCCACCTCACAGGGGGTCAGAGCCATCCTCCTCCGTACTTCCCACCTTAGTCAGAAATCATATTTTCTAAGAAACTGCTGTAGGGTGGAGACTTAAAGGGTTCATTGGTAAAATAGCTAACCAGCTATGTGAAGCGAAGTAACTTCTGGAAAGCTCATGAGCAAGACTAAAATTGAGGTAGAACTCAGGTCTTCTAAATCCAAGTCCAGTTTTTTTTTTTTTTTTTTTTTTTCTGTCATAACTGTGGTGTTCATGCTCTGTTATTATTACTCTTGTTAATATTCTGGAGCATATTTTAATCATTATTCCTGAACACTATGACTTACATGGTGTGGATTTTTATGTACTTTAGTATTAAAAGCAACGCTGCTCTTGTGAGAGTTTTATCAGACCCAATTTTATAAGTTTTTGCCAGGTCCTGCCCTGTTGATATTTGTTTCTCGTGTCTCTTTGTGGATCGAAGGCAGGATATGCGGCAGGTTCTCTCTTTTAAGCTAAGGAAATTTTATGTATGGGAAAATTTACTTTCCTGAGACATCACTTACTAAGTTGATATTACAGGGTCTTCTTAAATCCCTAAATTCCCTCTTAGAATTAAGAGTGCCTGAAGAATACAGTTCAACCATTTCATACATTGATGTAAATGTGAATATCTTTATTTCTTCTTTCAAAGAAGATTTATTTAACTGTATTATGAGGAGTAATGGGTTTGAAGTTAAATCTTCTTTGAAAATATAATTCATACACTGAAAAGCAAAAATGAAGACTTTTCTTATCCTAGATTTATGCATTGAATATTCCCACTATTATAGCAATGTAGTACAGAGACAGGTAATATTTTTGCTTTCCTTTATGAAAAGGATTAGTCACTAAGGAGATCTAGTGGTTTTAACAATTTCATCTCATACATTCTGCCACAGCTAAATTAGTTGAAGGGCTATAGAACTGACAATTCATGGATTATGAATACTTCATAAAGCAAAAATGCTGCTTAATACTGGAGCCCCTAAAGTTTAGGGCCGAAACTGTATAGTAGTGTCTTCAGGGAACTCAGAGCTTCTTGTAAGCATTCTTTCATTCCCCACTTAATCACATGCCTTAAGCATGTCCAGCACTGTGGTCTTTGTTTTTTCTGCAGCATCAGAACTGCTAGAGCACCTGACCCTTGGCTTTCAGGAACCCTGTGTGCCATCTCCATTGTGCTTCATTGGAATTTGGAAGAGTTGCTTGTAAGGCCTAAAATTTCTGGCAAGGTGTACTCTTTAAACAAGTATATATGTTCTCACTACAGTTTTTGAGGTATAACTGAGTTTATTAGAAATTTACTATGAAAACGATTTTTACTGTGCTTTGTCAGGATTTTAATGAAAGCTGGGAAACGTCAAATTGGGGATTCAGCAAAATATTACTTATGTTTTTGATCCAGAAATTTTCTTCTAGTTTATTATTATTTAGAGAAGCGTCATCTTGGCAGTGACAAAAATGTTTTGGTTCTCAAAGATACCCCTTGATAATGTGATTTACAACAGATTAATGAAAGTCAGAACAAATGGGTAAGGAGTACTATTCCCAAGCAATTACTAAGATTGAAATATCATTTTATCTTTTCAGGTTTCCCGCTTCTGCAGTTTCTGTTTTGAAGAGCCAGCACTTACGGCAGAAACTCCTTCAGTCTCTGTTTCTTGATAAAGTGTATTGGGAAAGTCAAGGCGGTAGACAAGGAATTGAAAAGCTTATTGATGTGATAGAACAGAGAGCCAAAATTCTAATCACCTACATTAATGCTCACGGGGCCAAAGTATTACCTATGAACGAATGACAAAAGAATCTTCTGGCTAGGGTGTTAGATATATTTATGCATTTGTGGTTTTGTTTTTAAATCGAGCACATCAACCTCAAGCCCATTTAGCAATGAGGAAGTGTAGATGAATACATAAAATAAATGACTTTAACCAAATAGCTGTAATGGGACTGAGCACTGTAGGTGGACTTCAAAAGGTTTTGAAAAGTATGCCACTTGAGAAATGTTTGTTTATATTTTTCTCTAACATCATGCTATGTGTGAGTCTGAACATCTGACAACAGAATAGTTTTAACTATTATTCTAGCTAAGTTTTGAAAACATTTGCTATGTCGTTTAATAGAAAAGCTTAAACCAGAGGTACTGACTCCATTAATAAACTATACTTTATGCCATTTTGACTGTTCTGAACAAATGCTAATGGGTATGATTCTTGACGTTTGTCTGTTACTGGTTGTTAACATAAAGCAGTCTCTACCCTACTCCGAAGAAACTCTACATTTCAATGGCTGATTATTTATAGACACAATAGAAAATAGACTGGTAATTTTGCAAATAAACCAGCATTTCTATTTAAACATATGGTCAGCTCTGATGCTCTCACAGGCCACGGGCCTCAGTGTTCCAATGTAGAGTTTCCTCGGAGTAGGGTAGAGACTGCAGATTATGTCTAGTGGCTGAGAAATTAAATAATGCTAAAGTATGAAGTTACCTATCTGAAAATGTACTTAGAGAGTATCATTTTAAAATAGACGTCTCTTTAAAAATTCAGTTACTTTTACAAAACATTTTGTATAAATTATGTATATTTATTAATAATAGTGGATTTTTAAAAATTTGTTCTATGTAATTATATTGAATTTGATTTAATGGTTACTGCCCAGATATTGAGAATTAGTCCAGATACTGAGTGTGTTTCAATATATTATCTGGCTTATTTCAACGTGTGTAATATGAACAAAATAAGTTAAAACCTGCCTCTGATCAATTTTCCTCAATGAAGGCACATGACTAGAACTAAAACAGTAAATTTGGACAATATTAAGCCTTAAATCATCCTCTCCAAACTCCTTCTAACACTTTTTACATTAGATTAGAAGACGTGGACAAGTAGGTTCATGTGTTCCGTCTTTATGTCCTTTGCCAATACCGAAGATCATTACATATGGCAGTTATTCACACAGAGGTTTCAAATTCAGAATAGAAAATTATCCTTCTGCCCTTACACAATCCACTCCATATTTAAAAGTTCAATTTGTGACGTTTTCATTTCCTGAAAGTTTAAAAATACAATCTGAGAATGTTTATAATACATTCTATCTTGTCTTTTCTCAGTTCAGTCTATTATTGCTAAAATACACCACATTTTCTTTGTTCTGGTTAACTCAATATCTGTGTGAAAGAGAAAGACAAACAACGTTACAATAGAGGCAAGATTTGAAAAAAAAAACTATAGATCTAAATGATACAAGTGTAGGGCAAAATGTCAGATAATGTGTTAAGATTAAGAGAAGATGGACCATGGAGAGAGAGATCATTTGATCATCTAATGACAGCTTTTCTAGGCTCACATTCATGTACTACTTTTAGTACCCTTGTGGGCTGTGCTTGCCTGTTGGACAACTGAACTTTAGACTGTCTTCCTCTTCAATTTTCCCTCCATAGACCTGAGTACCTCCCTCTGCTCCTAAAAATTTATAGTACTCCTCGGCTCTTCTGAATCTCCACTCTTACTCACCGTCACTGGGATTTTAAAGATCTCTTTCTTCTCTCATAATCATCTGCTTAATGAAAATTAGCCTAACAAAAGTTTGGGGACTGGAATTTTACTTTGACTGAGCCACTGACTTGAAATAACTCTTTTGGCAAATTGCCTGACACCTCGTCTTACCAAGGGGGCATATTTGCATTTTTACTGCTTTAAATTTTTTTTTTTTTTACCATCTCGATTTAAATTTATCATATTGATGGTAGGACTAAGAGGCGTTTTAGAAGCTGGCTTTAATGTTGAGTCTCAGTACAACGCTGTTGGGCAGCCTGGTCCTCCCACATGAGGATTTAACTTTATTTGCCTCCAGTGATTCCAAAATGCTTATTAAATGAAAGGCCCAAGAGCATGTTTATTTTAGTCACTTTTGCTTTTTAACAATTTTGTTTTGTAATCAGTGCGTATTTAATGATGAATTATTTTTGACTGATGAATAGCTGAAGGTCAGGCTTTTAATTCTAATAGGTAATGTTTTTCTTTTGTCTTATTGAAGCAATGAGAATACTCTGTGCATTTCAAATGCACTCAGATTATGCTGTGGTTTCATTCACATAAGCACAGTATGTGTTTTATTTATAGCTTCATAACAAATTTAAAATATAATAATTTAGGAGACATGCAAAAGCTTATTCTTGTGTAACTTTCTTTAAGCTAATGAAATGAAAATAAATAGGTATCTTAAAAATCTATAATAAAACATTAGAAATTAAAGACATGTGCTTTTTATTTTGCAGATGAGTTCATTTGCTTTTGTAGATGTGTTTTTAAAAGTTAGATATAGAGGAATGTTTGCTACCTTTGTCCATGAAAAAAGAAATAGAGTCAAGAATTCTGTTGGATTGTGTTTGTGTGTGCCTATATTTGATATCATTATTATATTTATAATCTGAGGACTTGTAATCATAGCCTGTTTATTCTACTGTGTCATTAAATATACTTTACCTTATATATAATAAATTTAAGACCTACCTGTAGATTTATTTACACACTGTCTTATGAAATTCTTATGTTTAGATCAGCATAGAACAAGGCAAGACCCATTTAGAGCATTCATCTGAAAGTTATATGGAAATTGAACATGGGTCAAATAAAGATGTTAAAGACCTTTTCTAAAAATTAAATATCATAAACCATAATCAAGAACTTTCATTCATGAAAGATAACTAGAATTGACTTGTCAGATAAAGATGACAACAATTCACACTTGGGACAACCAGAGGGGGACAAGGATTGAAAAACTAACTCTTGGGTACTATGCTCGGTACCTAGGTGATGGGATCATTCACATCCCAAACCTCAGCGACATTCAGTATACCCAGGAACAACCCTGCACACGTACCCCTGTATCTAAAATAAAGGTTGAAAAAGAAGAAAAAAAAAGAATTGACTTGTCAGAAAAATTATATGAAACTTGGAAATAGCCAGGAGAGAGTTTCTGGGTGTTCATTCAGGGCAATGTTATGATGAATTTTCTATTAAATGGGCTACTTAACAATGCAGGAGGGCAGGGGTTAACTTGTAGACTTTTGCTCCATAGAGATGCAAATAATTTCCTTCTGGTGCAAGAGATAACCTTAATGATAACAATTTATTAACTGTTGGGCATTAGCCATTTTCAATGTAGTCCAACAATCTTATCCTAATATTGCCTATAAATATTTGGCATTTGAAATACACTTTTAGGTGGTTTTTACCATCTTACTGGTTCCATCATTAATTGATTATTTGAATAAAATCTTTATAATCTATTCATTTTACATTTTCCTAGGAATCAGTTTTTCATCATTTGAAATTTTTGCTTTAATAACCTTTTGACCACAGAGTCATATAATTTTATTTGCTTGAGAGTTATGATTTTAAATTTTTGAAAATTTTACTTTAACAAAGTTTCAAAATATAGACTTATACATTAAAAAAATTTTTTTCAAGACGGAGTCTTGCTCTGTTGCCTAGGCTGAAGTGCAGTGCCATGATCTCAGCTCACTGCACCCTTTGCCTTCTGGGTTCAAGGGATTCTCATTCCTCAGTCTCCTGAGTAGCTCAGATTACAGTTGCCTGCCACCACACCTGGATACTTTTTGTATTTTTAACAGAGATGGGGTTTCACTATGTTGGCTAGGCTGGTCTTTAACTCCTGACATCAGATGATCCGCCCGTCTGGGCCTCACAAAGTGCTGAGATTACAGGCATGATCCACCACACTTGGCTGACTTTACACAATTTTATAATAGAACAGGACCATGAAGTCAGCATCTGTTCCAACAACCTCATTCTCCTGGTGGGGAAACTAAGGCTTAGAGAGGAAAAGTGACTTGCCTCAATCTATACAAACTGTTGACCTAAAATCTTCTGTGTTGAAATGACTTAGAAAGTTAGAAAGTCAAGACTTTCTCAGAGATTTATTATCTACCAACATAAAATAAGAAATCCTAACTTTATAAACCCTGAAGATCTTACATATGCATATTCATATATAGTAATAATTTTAGGACACTGTTTTATGAACATTTAGAGCAGAATAAACAAGAAAGCTACTCACATTATGAAACTTTTGATGATTACATTGCACAGTTGATTGAGAATTTACTGTGTTATGTTCTGTTAAACAATGCAGATACACAAATTAATAAGTAAATTTTTAACGTGTTAACCCGCAATCAAGACCTGTAATTAGGCTTTTAGTTATATTTTAGTAGCAAAAATGTAGGAAAACAATTCTTTCGCGAAGTGTCCAGAAATGAACTCTTACTAGGTTAGAGAGAGATATTGGTACTCACTGTAAGAATTTGCCTATCTGTAGTTTATTGTTGATGATTACTGCTTGAAACAATAGTTCAGAGTCATGTTGTGGCTAAAGGAATAGATCTAATCATCTCAATACATTCTGCAGACATCACCATGTTCCAGTGTCGTGGTACAATAAGAGATGAATACAGTTTTGCGACCTAATGAATATACTGATTAATCAAAAATGCATTAATTTATGTTCTGTGTTGTACCAGTGCTATTTAGCCTTTTATGAGATACTGATCTCATTGAGAAGCTGATTAAACGTTTAGCTCTCTATATAGTTCTGTACATAGTTTCATGGGGCTCTCAGATCTACAGATACCCACGTAGGGAGCTCTTCCCTCCTAAGTCTGTGGTCTTCCAGGTTAAGAAAGCTTGCTTTCCAGAGTAGTACTTAAGAAGATGGGAAATTATATTATTTGGAGTCAAAAAATCTTCACCTAATGTATTTTACAAGTTTTGTTTTTATACAAAGGTGAAAACTTAGGTTTTGGTAAAGAATATTTAATGAAATATTTTATTTAGCAATGGAAGTTGAGAGACCATTTACTTTAGCAATTCTTAAACATTTTCAGCCCATACCATCACTTCCAAATTCGCTATCGCTTACTTAATCAACCATAGAATGAAAACCTTGAGTTTAGTTTCACTTTAACTTTAATTTGTTAAAAATTATCAGTTACCTGATTTATTCGCTGTAAAATACAAAAGATCTCAGATAGCCACTTTTAAACTTGTGTTTTGCACACGAACAGAAAACCAAACACTGCATGTTCTCACTCATAAGTGGGAGTTGAACAATGAGAACACATGGACACAGGGAGGGGAACATCACATACCAGGACTGTCACAGGGTGGGAGGCTAGGGGAGGGATAGCGTTAGGAGAAATAAATAATGTAGATGACAGGTTGATGGGTGCAGCAAACCACCATGGCACATGTATACCTATAACCAGGTGTCCTCAAACTTTTTACACAGGGGGCCAGTTCACTGTCCCTCAGACCGTTGGAGGGCTGCCACATACTGTCCTCCTCTCACTGACCACCAATGAAAGAGGTGCCCCTTCCTGAAGTGCGGCGGCGGGGGCAGATAAATGGCCTCAGGGGGCCACATGCGGCCCGCAGGCCGTAGTTTGGGGATGCCTGCCTATAACAAACCTGAACGTTCTGCACATGTATCTCAGAACTCAAAGCATAATGATAAAAAATTGTGTTTTGCAGTATGGGTGAAATATAGTCAATGTATACTATTGAATGATTTATTGCCAATGGTTTTCTAGGCATTACCATAAGGTTCTTGCTTCTTATTAAACAATTTCCTAAATGAATGAATTTTTCCCAAAGGAATTATTTTCTTGACATTTATGCAAAGAACTATAACTATTTCTTACTGTTCCATTGGCTTGTTAGAGGAGTTTGGACTGTCTATGCTCATGTCACCTTTTGCCCCACTTCGAATTTACACACAGCTGTCTTATGTCGAAATATGGCATCTTCACCAATTTTTAAGCTCTTTAGTCCTCTGGGACAGGCCTTTGCTGTAAGAAAGGTCTGACTCAGAAGGGTTGCTGGCAGACTGCAGACTGTCTTGCAACCTAAAAATGCACATGGTAAGCGAATGAAGTCACAGAAATCCTTTCTTAAAATGGCATTGCATGTGGTTAAATTCATTCAACTTTTTTTTTCATCTTAGAAAGGTACCATTTTATCTTCATGGCTCTAAAGTATATTTAGTTTGTTGATAAAAATATGCACAATCATGTGTACATGAAGAAATCTCTATGCAGCTTCTTTTCTAGAAAGTCATCTGTATTTTGTAAGAGTACTTGTCAAGATTACCAAAGCTTTTCAAAGAGCTAACACATAAGGAAAACTTCCCTTGTCAGTGGCTTTAATCACATGCTGCAGAATAGCTAACTGTGCTATATTTCAAAAGGCAGACTGGACTGCAGGGACTGGGGCGAATCACTAAATAAGACGGAAACAGCTGTGATTCTGTGAGATGTGCCAATAGTTTCTTTAGCTTCAGGACACCAGACATTATTTGGTTTATAAAGTACCCTATCTTATTGGCTCTGCTTCTGTTTAGAAGAACAAGATATGGCGTTCTGTACACTCTTCAGGCTCTCAGGAGTATTAAAAATTGAGGTCGACATTAAAAAGAAACAACTATGATGCAGATATTCTCTCTAATTTTCTGAGACTACATTATGGTTAAGCTTGCAAGATTCTGTTCTTTTGAAAGAGAATGAGCAAATCACTAGTAGATCCTCCTAGGAGGGGGTCAGTTTTCTTCTCTTTTAATCAGGTAACAAATGACAGTTAAGAGACAGGACTTTCTCAAGAGTTTTGGTGGCGATTGTGGCAATGCTATTGGCTGTTCTTACTGTGTATTTCTGTTAGTGTTCCTTTGTTGCTTGCAATTTCAAAAGTGTTGTCTCAGATAGAAAGAATATGTTATGTTTAGAGGGGAGGGATGTGGCAGCATCCAGAGGAGCAAATTCCTAATTAAAGACAAATTTCTAATTAAACCCTGACTTTCGCCTGGGTTTTCTGAATCCCAGAACTAAAGACCTTTTGAGCTGGATAATTCTTTGTCACGGGTAGCTGTCTGGTGCATTGCAAGATGTTCAGCAGCACCCTTGGCCTCTACTCTCTAGATGCCAGTAGCAGCAGCTCCTACACATGTGACAGCAAGAAAGTCTCTAGACATTGCAAAGTGTCTCCGGGAGGCACAATCATTTCCCACCCGAGAACCACTGCTTTAGCCCATTGATAGCCCTTTATTAAGGATAAAACTTTTACCATGTTTTGTTCTTTCACATTTCATTTACGAAGATTTTCTCTGCAAAATTTCTTGTACTGTAATTTATGGCCACATTGTATGACATGGGTAATAGCCCTAGGAGGTCTGATGGTTTGGAACAAGAGATCCTTGAGTAAAGCCACCTGAGAGTCAAGAGGAAGCAGCATTTTGATCTCTGAAATCTAGAGGTGAAGAATAAATCTAGGAGCATATGATAAGTATCAGGGCAAAAATTTCAAAATGGGTTGTTTTTGCAGATAAGAGTGCTTGCAAATCTGTGCTTTCCATCCTCTGTCCCAGGACCCAGTATCTGTATTCTTTAAGAAGATAACCTGGGATTGCCAGGTCATAAGATATTTCTAGTTCCAGATCCTTGAGGAATCACCAATA